CAAAATATATTAAGTGTAAGGAAATTACTTTGACGGTCATATGATTGTTTTGTAAAAAAAAATTTAAATAGATAGCTTTGAAAAAAAATCTGGGTTTGGGGGGGATACCGCCTCGTATAAACAAAATATCGATTTACTGAAAGTAAATTATACCAAATTAAGCCTGACTTGAAATTAAATAGACAAACAACAAACTTGGAAATTCTCATATATCTTCAACAAACCAAAAAACGTTATACTTCTACTGAATTATTTAATTAAGCCAAGATCACTAAATAACTGTTTCTAATTACCTTTTTTATAACATCTGAAAAGAAAATATAACTTTCTACTCTTTCATTTATTAAGTAGTCTGTAGATTATAATTTTTATTTACATAGGAACTCTAAGAACTCTATGATCTTGCATACATACTGCCTCATTTATCTTTAGAATTTTTATTAGAAAAATATCCCAGGGTGACATACAAGTATATTTAAGGCCCGAAGAAATGTGCTGCCATCTTATCTAGTACTATCGTTCTTCCCACATGCCCACTATTCGTTCACTTGACTATCAAAATAAAACTATATAAAATATGAATGCACTCCTAACTTTCCCATTTAAAATTTTTCTGGCACTCATTTATTTTTTTGGCTTTCTTTTTTCATTATAAACAAATCTTTCTTTCTCTCTGATACCTTTCATATTAACAATCTAGTTTCAAAAACATTAATTTTGTCTCACTGTTCCCTAATTTTTCTTTGTCAACACCCTATTAAATTGTCGTACTATTAGACATGAAGGGGCTTCAAAAAGATCTTGGGAAAAAATGAAATTAAAGTATGATGGGCTTTTTTCCCATGAACTTTATGAAGCTCCCTCATATAATCTACATTTCCTTCCCTTATACACCAATCACTATTTTTAGAACAGTCATCAAGTTAGTAAATCCAGCCCCTTGCATCAAACTTTTTTCTATATTTTGTATTAGAATGTTTTCAAATTATTTCCTATTTTCTGAACCAGTGATTTCTTAATCAAATAAACTTTAGTAAAATCCTATTCCTCCCTGAAATTTTCCATCTTAAGATCCTCAGATTATTTTTCTATTTTACCATTCCTTAATATGCTCTCCCATCAGCATACAAGTATAAATCTTAAAATCTTACATAATGGTTATGAACAGTATTTTTTCTCTCAAATTTAACTCCTCTAATTTTTCATTCAATTTAATCTGCTTAACCAACATTATGCCTCCTCTAAAATTTTTCTCCTTTTATTCTCCTTTATTAAACGTGTATAAAAAGATCACTTCCAGAGAAATTTTAGTTTTATCATTCCACACTCACTGCATGAGAGAGAATGAAGGCCCTAGGGCAGTGGTTCTCAACCTGGGGGTTGCGACCCCTTTGGGGGTTGAAAGGCCCTTTTCCAGGGGTCAGTCAAGTCACAAAAGTAGCGAAATAAGTGATGAAGTAGCAACAAAAATAATTTTATGGTTGTAGGGGGTCACCAGAACATGAGAAACTGTATTAAAGGGTCACGGCATTAGGAAGGTCGAGAATCATTGCCCAAGTGCCTGTGTAGGTATCTTAAGATAGCAGACCAACAATACTCTCTGGTGTAATATTATGAAGGCTAAAAAGCCACCCATGTTGCTTTTCTTGTTCCTTCTCACAATGAACCTTCTTTGTCTTCCTGTCCCAGCTAACATTCTTATTTCAAGATTTTCCCCTTAACTACCCTTTAACTTTCTTACACCTATTAAAGTCATTTGGTTTTTGTTTTGTTTTTCTAAATCATTTTATTGGGGGCTCGTACAACTCTTATCACAATCCATACATACATCCATTGTGTCAAGCACATGTGTACATCTGTTGCCATCATTCTCAAACATTTGCTTTCCACTTGAGTCCCCGGCATCAGCACCTCATTTTTTCCCCTCCTTCCCCTCTCCCCTCAGTCATTTGGTTTTTTTATATGACCTTCTCAACATGCTCAAAAGATAAGCTAACATTTCTGAAGTCACTGCCATCAAGTTGATTCTGGCTCACAGCAACCTCAGAGAAGCACTGAGTGCCTAGGGTTTCTGAGGCTATCAGTAATGATGGGGGAGCCAATACCCTCATCTTTCTCCTAAGGAGCATCCGGCAGGCTTGCACTGCTGACCTTGAGATTAGCAGTGCAATATGTTACCCAGGCCACAGAGGAGATGCAGGAATATGATCTGCCCAAGTGCAGTGTAAGCTAGCACCATGATTAGAATTCAGGACCCTGACTTGGAAGTCTAATGCCACACACAAGGGTAAACCAAAAAGCACAAAATCACAGAAACCTTTCTTAAGCAAAAGTATCACAATGTGAGGCTACTGCTTCTCAACATGTCCTCCATCTAGGGCTGCCTACTTCTGAAGGTGCTGTTTCCATGTCTCTCGCCCTTCCCTAGACCAATTACACATGAAAAGAGCAGTCTGGGGTTCCATTTCAATGGTGAGTTTGGAGGACAAAAAATAATGGTCTAAATGGGCAAGATGTTTTTACGGTGGTCCTTACTACCCTCAGACAAGGAGCAAGTACATTCTTGTGATAGAAAAAAAAATTATTTGGCACAACCTTCCTGGACTTTTCCTTACCAATGCTATTTCCAATTTTTTTAAAAAAACTTCGTCATAATAAGTCTCTGTGATCATCCTGTGTCCCTTGAGAATCCATCAAGATTACAAGTCATCATAACTTTGTGCACTAGCTGTCTTGAACTTCTTGTGAACACGCTTAACAAGTGTAAGACAATGTATTACTGAGAGAACTTGTCTGCAGCCACCACTGTATCAGAGGAAAATCTACTTTTACCTACATTAGCTATTCTCTTCTGGTTTGAAGAATTGTCTATTTTTATAAAACACAAGTTTCTCAGTTTATACACACACAAACACATACACACACAACCTCTATCCTCTATACTCATTTCCATGTTTTAAAAATGCTCTATTAGGTTGTAGGATATAAGTGAGTAACATGAGTTCACTGAGGTAAGCTTACAATGAAAAAACGGAAAAGGGGCATAGGGAAAAAGCTACTGTATACAAACATTCCTGGGGTGAGGTCCGGGTAGTATGGCAGGGACCAGACCCAATCCAGGGATACATATGGTAGCCAACTAAAAAAAAAAAGGGGGGGGGGAGAGAAATGGGTAATGGGGTAACAGGGCACTAACCCATGCAAGGGGTAGGTTTTATCTATATCTCCACAGGGAAAGAGGAACCAGACTTCAACCCAGTGCTCCAAGATGTGAATGCAGGGAACCACTAGAGAAGTCTAAGGGGCTTGGACCCAATTCCAACCCCTCCCCCCAGTAAAATTTACTTCAGAGGACAGCACTGAAGCTACAGCTCAGGGAAATGGGCATGTCTGATCAGAGCACACAGGAGCAAATGAAGGGGGAGGAAGAGAGAGTGGAGCACATCTGGGTCCACCAAGCCTGGAGGACGATATCCCCGCTCAGAGCAGTCAACGTACAGAGAGGAACATATGGCCAGCCTACTATGAGACACGACATACCTCACTGACCCATGGCCCTACAGGGGACAACACTGAAGACACAGTGTGGGAACTGCGCTCAATCTGACCCTACCACACCGAGGCAAAACACTAAGGGCGTGCAACAGAACAGCAAGGGGAGCAGAGCAAGGAAGTCCCGAGGGAGTACCAAAAATAGACTGTGGGGCCAGGGCGTGGCACCCCATCAGACTCCACTGGAAAGCACTCCTAAAGGTCAACAAACAGACCTTGAACTATTTACAGGCTTTTCTTTTTTTGTCATTGTTTTTCTGTTGTTGTTGTCTTGTTTTGTTGCTTTGTAGGTTCTTTCTGTTTTAATAGTACTGAACAAGTCAGCATCTTGCTAATATTTCATAGTTCCAGACACAGTATCCCAAATTACCTTTATTTGTACTTTGTCATATTATGAATGACTGGTATACACTATCTGCCCTTGGCAAGATAGTGGCAAGATTAACTTCTGATAATACATTAACAGACTACAGCTATATATATAAGTAATCACTTTTATACAAGGAACAGAAGGAAACTTTGGGCTCCTAGACACTACCACTGTGCCTGTTTGATTACTACAAGCATAAATTTCAAGTAACTAAATCTTTTCATAGATATTTATTGAAGAATTACAACGGAACTTTATTTATTATCTATAGAATTTATTAGACTACATTAAAATTAATGTCAACCCTCCCTGCCTCCCGCCTCCCTCTTCCCAGCTCCGGCTCGGCCACCAGCTCCGGCCTCAGCTCCCCCTTCCCGGGTCCCCCTCCCCGGTGCCGAGCCCACCGAGGGCCCCTGTCCCGCCCCGGCCCAAAAAAATAAAATAAAATAAAATTAATGTCAAAACCTGTTCACTTGGCTGTTCATTAATGGTCTCTTTTGGGGAAAAAGGTAATCCACTATCATGAGAAAAAAGTTTGGAAGCTAAAGACATTGAGTTAGTTAATTGTGCCAGCCTGGCCGATAATCACATGTGGGGCTAATTGAAAGGCGGAGGGATAAATGGGTGGTGAGCCTCGCCTTTCTAGTTCTCCGGTCTCTTGTTTTGTGATGGTTGCACCGGGTGCAGCTGCCTTAGCAGTTCCCTGCTTCAGCTTGCAAGATTGACTTCCTACAAGACATCCCCAAGGAGAAGCCACATGGACCTATCCCGATGCAGCCCTGGGTGCTGGAGCAGCCGTGTGGAGACCCCTGCTAGTGCTGAGATGCTTGTTCGTTCACTGACTCAGCTTTCCTCCTGCAATCGGCGTCATTGCCTCTGTGAGGTGGAGGACTTTGTGGACTGGTGTTGGGTTAATGGGTTAATGTTGGACTTGTGGGCTCGGGCAGCATTGGGTTGGAATGTTTTCATGATGCACATTTTCTTTACATAAAACTCTCTCTTATACATGAGTCGCTGTGGATTTGTTTCTCCAAAGTACCTAGACTAATACAGACATAAAAAGAGTACAATTTCTTACTGCTTATTGAAGAAATATGGTTGTGTCCCCAGTCTTTGAGAAAGAGCTTGGCAGCATTGGTCTACATCTTCTAAGACCTAACATCGTCAGCAGACCACAAAGGAAAATACTTAAATGAGCAAAACAGTAACAGATGCTTAAAACTTCATGTAAATCACATTTTATAAAACATAAATTAATTTCCTATAATATTGTCAGACTAGAGGCTATGTATATAAGTAATAATTTTTATACATGAAACAAGAAAAATTGAGAGCAAATTTCCTTTAAAAGCAAATATATTCAAGTTATTACATATATAAGGGTTACCATTGATAGCTTTTCCCTCAAAGCCCTACTCCTTGTAAAAAATGCTATTTTAATCCATATCTTCAAATGCCTTTGCACATATAAAATAATGACACTGTTGACCCACCAGGAGTAAAAGCATTTGACTTGTTTTTCCCACTAGTAGTGATGGATTTTATTTACTCCATCCCTATTCATTGGCCCCGTCCCCCTCGTGGCCAATGGCACACATCAGTGAGATGGCTGGCTAGGACTAGGAAACAAGAGACATTAATTAGCTTAATGATGCTCAAACTCACAATCTTGACAAGATACGCTTTTTTTTTTTTTTTACATTTTGCTACTTTGGTAAATTTAGGACAAGAGCAAAATACATATTTTTGTTTTGTTTTAAGCCCTGCTGCTACTGATAACAATAAAGAAGCACACAATATACAAGTTACACAGTAGCAGGTATAATATGATCTCATTTAAAGAAAACATTCTAAGATACATCTAGGAGAATGAATGTTGTCCAAGTTGCTCCCAGTGCCAAGTTCTATACAGTCAAATTTCACATGGATTTTATATCCTTTTTACACTTTTCTGCCATAGATATAAATGTACATATATTTTTCACTTTAAGCGTGTATTTTTATTACTTTAAACATGTGTGATTTTTATAAAATATATTACACAATAACCACTTCATGTAAAAACTGTTTACCAAACATTTTGCTGAGTTTAGATTATGGAGGGATTTATTTAAAGGAGTATCAACACAAGAATACTTTGTGTTGAGAGCTTTGTCAACTACAACTGGAACTGACCTGGTCCAGAGTCTTGCTACCCCAGCCGATCGCCTTCATCTTACGTTTGATTTCCCACTGTTTCTGATAGGCCAAAACATGATTCAGAGGCCAAGGGTACGGAGATCCATACCTAGCGTAAGTAATCTAAAGTAAAAATAGTTTGTTAAGAGCATGGTTCTTAAAAATGAAGAGGCGGCTTACAAATAAAATTCTAATGGAAACATATTTCAGAGAACACATTTAGAACAAACTGGAAAAAAATACATAGCTTGCAGTCTAAAAAATTAAAATTTTAAACCATTCGCTTTAAAAATATATAAACTTTTATGTACTTTGCAACCAGTTATATCAAACAATGACACATAGCCTCCCTAAATTGTATGTGCAAGCAAAATTAAAGTAAGTGAAAAACTATATCACTAATGGTATAAACCACAATGTTTCATTTATGAGCAGGGACTTGAGATTCTGAGCAAAAGTGTTTTCTCATTAAATTTTAATTAAGATAAATGCTGCAGAACCACTCACCTCCCTTACTGTAGCTTCATCGCACCACTGAAGATACAACTAGGAACAAAAGAATAGTCACTAAACTTTGCAATGCCAAAGAGAAAACAGATTTTTAAAAGTTATTTCCTGCACCGGTTAATTTTTATCAGCCAACTTCATAAAGGTAACATGTCTTCGGAGGTCTGTTTGTTGTTGTTGTTTCCCCTTAGCTAACTGTGCTATAGTGAATCATTACATTCAATCATGATACTCTATAAAAATAGTAGTTGTTATTCAAAGAGTAGACTCCTCAATATCATTAAGGTATTTTATAAACGATATTTAAGTAAATTGTACAATGCTGAACAAAATAGTGAGTGTGCAAGAACCACCAGTGTAACAAATGGAAAATCTAGAACAGAAGAGGTTGCAGCTTGAATATTGGATCAAATAATGTCGGAAAGCACATTAACCCTACAATTGAGTATTTTTTAATTTCCCAATAACTCTAAAATAATACATTTTTAAAGTATATTTTATGGGGTTTGGGAGGCTACTCTGAAGCCCTGTTATCTTCTATTATACCTCTGCAGTCAACAGCATATTGTTGACTAATTCCATGTAGGCTTTCATTTCTGCTTTTTGGACTTCATCCAGCCCATCACTAAGCGAATGGCCCTAGAGGGAATTTAAAAAAATTTAAGGGTGTCATATAAAATACACAAATCTTTCAGCTATCTTACCACCAAGTAATATGACATCAATGTTTCTACTAGAAACGTCCAATATTCCTAAAATAAAATTATTTTTATGAAAGCATATTTATTATTATTGATAGTATTTATTTCTCATTATAAAAATGTATCTTTCAAAAGAAAAAATTACATTAATAATTATTGCATGAAAGAATGGTCAGTAAACCTTTTTTTTTAAGCGACTAACACCCTAGTAACAATGTCAAGTAATTATTGAACTGCTAACCTTAAATTAAGGTCATGGTTCAAAACTACCACCCACTCCATGACACACAGACACGGCTGTTTGTTCCTGTACAGATTCACAGCCTCAGAAATCCTACATAAGGTCACTTTTAGTCAAAATAAATTTGATGGTAACCTTTTTTGTAATTTTTTAAAATGTTAAAATATGTGCATGCATTGCTTATAAAGAGGCCAATGATTTTAAAAATAAAGAGGTACAGGGAAGCTTTTGGAATCAATTAAACATCAATTAACAAATGGTATAGTATAATAAGTGGTAGATAAACAAAACATATATCCTTTAGTTCAACCTGGTAATCTGATGAAAGTTGTTCAAAGCGCACACATTATAACATTGTAATATCACTCAATATCACTCTGGAAGTTATCCTAAAAGAGATAATCACACAAATGTACAAATATTTATGTTTAAGAATATTTATCTTAGTACTCCTTATAAGAGTAACAACAACAAAAATGACAACAACCTAAATGCCCATCGATGAAGGCTTGAGAAGTAAATTACAACACATCAATACGACAAACTGCTACAGAACAATGCTAAAGGTTGGTAGATAGCTATCGCCATTAATGTAGAAAATGTCCAAGTATATAAGTTGCTAGGGGAAAATGCCACCATCTTTTCATTCTATTTTCCACAAACTTTGGAAGCCCCCACATGTTGGTGATTTTAAAAGGCAGGTTGAGAAATAATATATAATAATTTCAGGGCTGCTGAGTCTAACTCATAGCAACACTACCGGATAGAGCAGAAATACTGCAGAGTTCACAAAACTAGAAATCTCCACGGCTGACTGCCTCATCTTTTGTCCATGGAATGGCTGGTGGGTTTGAACCATGAACCTTTTGATTAGCAGTCCAACAACACAGAACCGAAAGTGTCACCAGGGCTCCTTAATAGTATATCTATATTTTCTAGATATGCATATAGAAAGTTCAGAGGTGACAGTTCCCAAAGTTTTAATGGCAGTTGCCCTTAAATAACTATTAAAATCTAAAAGGAATAAATTAAAGGTAGAATAATTTAAATGGATAGACTGGCACATTCAACTTTTAAATATATCCTATATCCCTTTCTAGTTTTTTAACATTTCCCAATTGATTGCAATATACTCCTATCCCAATGAGAGCAGCTGATATAATGAAAAATAATCCATTTTGATTTTTTAAATAATTAATCTGACAGTTTATAACAATCTAACAGTTTTCATTTAAGACAAAAATGCTCATAAGCATAAGTTAAAACGTATCTACCATTTTGGAAAAATCAAGCTATCTCTTGCTGCCATTTATTTACATTATGGGGGGGGGGGTGTGTGTGGACAACTTATGTTTTAGAATTATTTCTCCAGTAGTTTGTATTGGCACTTTATAAAACTAGGTTAAAATCAATGTAAGTGCTAAGACATACTAAAGAATGATGAATGGTTTATTTAAGAGTCACTGTAATCAAATCCATTTAGTATTTTTTTTTATTACCTTGGCTTTAACAAATTGGACTATTGGGCCAAGTTCTGATACGACTTGATTTCCCACATGAATAAAAGGCACTTTACCTGTTGAGGGAAAAAATGCATGAAAACACTTAGTAAATTAAATTCTGTGCCAATAAAAGGAAATTAACATAAAACTGGATAAATTTTATTAATACAGATATTTCATTAAGCTAAACTTTTTTAAAATTGTAGTCAAATGTTGGTAAGGTCTACAAATTTTTAAATACTCATTACTATTTATAAATTTAATAACAATTCTCAATTTGTTAAAAGAATAAATTAAAAATTTTAAACAATCAGAATAATTTCTTGAGTTCTTCACCTGGATATACCTAACAGATCCAATATTCCCTTTTCAGAGGTAACACTAGAAAAATCACTGTACAGTAATAAGTACTAATCATCCCAATTTCTAAACTCGGGCAGTAATTCATGACCAATGATACATTTCAAAGAAATGTAACTGGGTGTTCTCTTCAGAGTACAATAAATAAATCTGTTTTAAACTACATTTAAGGAACCTTCTGTGTTTCTGCCTTCTAATTTTAAAGATCTCATGTCCATCAGGGTCACTGTTTTAAGGATATATTGGGACGTTAAAAATATCAGGAATTAAAAGAATTAAAAATTCTTGAAAGCTAATGCTAGCTTGTGTGTTAGTTACACAAAATAGAGCCTCAACATACATGGGAACAAGTAATATACAATGCACAAAGAACAAGTAATATACTGTACTTATAAAGGTTGGTTTCTCTAAGTAAATGCCATGTTGAAAAAGTAGCACCTCATTTTATACATACTACTGTTTGATGAAATTATCAGAGATGAAGTGAACAAAATTGGCTCCAAAAAGCAAGACGGACCATCCCAAAAGTCAGCGGATGAAGCCTGCTGTCAGACCTAGTTCAAATGGAGTTCACAGGAACAGCAGGCTTCCTCTTGCTCCTCTTTCAATAGATTCACTCCTCTCTGACACAGTCAACCTGAGGTTAATGGATGAGGTGCAGAGCACCAACAAAAGCGGCTCGGCTTCCATGGGATGACATGCACTACAAAGGGATGACAGGCCTTTGGAACGTAACAATTCAGTAGATGTACTTAGAAGAACGTCCATGGTACCAAAGTAAGAGCACTGGATTCTGCATTCCTTCTTCTACCCTTTACAAATCTTGTAACTGCTAATAATAATATAAGTTGTTAGGCTCTGAGATAAAATGATGTAAGAATGAGAGTGTTTCATGAATGAGCCAGCCTGAAGATTATTTGAAGATGTGACTTTTCTAGGCTATTTCTCATTTTCTAACGACAGGAGTTCTCCAAAAATTCATGGAAAATCTGAATTAAAAAATAATAGAATCTTCCCATGAACTGTCTGACAGCCCCTTGTAGAGGGTCACTCTGAATGCACATGGACTGTGGCACTCGGGCTTGGGCTTTTGGTCACTTGGCGTACCCCAAACAAGCGTGCGTTTCCTTCCCTTTCTTACAGAGACGGAGGAGCACAGATTCTAAGTAGAGGGGTCACCCGAGTGGCCGCTGGGCATCCTAAGTGACTGGATGGAAGCAAGCTGGAGGGTTGGGTGCATCTCCAAATATAGAGATGTGAAAACGAAGGCAACAAATCAGAGGTAAATAATAGTGTTTTCTATCATAGACCTGACTCTAAATGAGGCGAATGTTATATCATTCCAATCATTAAAAACCAGGCAAGAGCCCAGCGAGACAGTTATTCTCTGGAACTGATAAAAGTTCACTCTTCCTTAGCCTAAACGACAACTGAGGAGACTTGACTCGTTGTTTTTTTTTTCATTTTAGGCAAAATGATCATTCTAAAAATGATCATTCTATAGAAAGCAAGAACATGCTGTCAAGAAACTCTGAAAATTCAAAGAAGGGATCTTGGACGTCAACGAACCCTATCTCCTCATATTACAGATGCAGTCATTACGACTCAGCCAAAAACAAAGTGGGAGAAAACCCCAAGGAAACAGCTAATATGTGACAAAACCACAAAAGGTCATGGTGAAATTACCCTTAGTCTTAGCCAAGAGGTTTTTGACTATTGCATGCTCTTCTCTGCTTTAATAATCTGTCAAATAAGCAAATAAGCAAAATTATGATGAAAGGCTATGGTAATTTCAAAATGAAAAAATTTAGATATGGTACTAGAACAGTGGTTCTCAACCTGTGGGTTGCGTCCCCTTTGGGGGGTCTAATGACCCTTTCACAAGGGTCACCCGATTCATAACAGTAGCAAAATTACAGTTATGAAGTAGCAACGAAAATATGTTTATGGTTGGGGGGGGTGTCACCACAGCATGAGGAACTGTATTAAAGGGTCGCAGCATTAGGAAGGTTGAGAACCACTGTATTAGAACATGCCTTTTCAGCTACTGTATATACTCGAGTATAAGCTGAATATCAGCCGAGGCACCTAATTTTACCACAAAGACTGCATTAAAAATTTGCTGAAAAAACTCACTTATACACAAGTATATACAGTACATATAGGGAACTCCTATGACTGTACATATATGTCTCTGCAATATTTATATTTGTCTTTCATGGGGTCTAAAAAAAGCAGTGCAGTATAGTCACTTTAGGAAACAGATTTTAACTTTAGTATTAGCCAATGGACTTTGTATATGTAGATACATAAACTCATTATCATATGACGATATAGAGAAAAAAGATGGACAGGAAGCAATAGAATTCATATGACCAGGATTCGGTAAAAGTTATAGAAATGTAGGTTTACGCTGACTCACTCTGTAACTAACCTACAAAAATGTATGCATACATTGAGTCACTATGTGACTGATCTACAAAAAGCTAAAATATTGCTAATCTAGAAATTCTTTTATGGAAATGATTATTCACATATATGCCATTATCTTTTCATTCTATTTTTCCACAAACTTTTTTAAGCCCCCCTGGAGGGAGCATGTTTTCACAGACATTAAAAATGTTTAACTACAAAGAGCAGACAGCTCCCAAAGAAGTAAAGCAACACTTTATACCAAATGATTGTATTCAACAGTTACTAATAAAGAAATGGGCCTATGTGTTATTACTGCTCTATCAAAGCCATAATAACAATAATTCATTTCAATTATATTTAATATTTCTAAAACATCTTTGGGGTACATTTTTATGCTAAAATTATTTTAATCATATTTATTGTGAATGGTACTTTAATCTGCTAACACATAACATTGAAGAAAAGTTAACACTGACTACTAAAAACAGCAGATAAGCTGAAACTTTTAAAAGAATTACCTTTTTTTTTTTTTAAAGAATTATCTTAAAACCCATTAAAATAAAGTATTAGGGAAAAGGTAGGAACAAAACTTGCAGTTGTGATTTTAACTCAAGTCTATACAAGCTAATTTAATTATTCTATAATCTCTCAAGCAATTTATAGAAATGTGATGAATAATGAGTACTATGATTAATAAGTGGATTAATATTAAAATAAATGTATCTTCATATATTATAATATGCAATGTAACAGAATAATTCATTAATATTAACTTTTATTTCTAAACAGTCCTATAACAAAGACTGGGGAAATCAGAGTTCATACCTTTTCTTAATATTTACTATTTTAAAAATTCCTATGATATCTCAAAAACTATCTCTGACTACAGAGTTGAAAGGATTAGACACAGCCATCTCCAAAATGTCAAGTCTGCAATTGATATCTCATAAAACCAAAGGAAAATTCCTCAAAGGGTAAAAAAAATAGGCATTTTTAGTACGTTGGTATAAAATGGGCTGTCACTAAATTTATAAATGCAGAATTATAACAAAGGAAAACATCACTTACCAGAGGGAGACATGTATTCTGCATTTGACCTACAAACCACTTTGATAGGCAGGTTACACATTTGCAAAAAGGCCTGTGAACAAGAGAATTACAGTAAATCTAGTGAAAGCACCTGTACATTTCAACACCACGTTTCCCTTTTCTACACTGAAGCGTTGAAACAGTACCCAGTAATACACTGACAGTAACACTCACAAAGGTAAGCCAACCTAAAGTAAGGATTTGTTTTCTAAACACAAAATGCCATGTCAGTACTAAAACTTATTATGACTTAGACACAAGTAGATTATTAAAATGTAAAGCATTTATTTACATTTAAGAAAGAAAATGCAAATTATCCACACTTCTTTTTCCCATATTAGTTGGTAAAACTAATTATTGTATTAGGTAGCAACACTGCATGCTGCTTTCGGTGTATCTGACAGATAACTGAATCCACATTTTAAAAGCTGTTGTTTAATCCCACCACTCTTTCCAGGATCACTTTTTTCCCCTCTTATTAAGGAAAAAACTCTCAAACATTATTCTGCTACTTCAATGTTCTTGCCAACCTAATAATTACTCAAAATCCTGAACTGTCACTTCTATGCTAATCCAGTTTTATTATTTTATAAGCAACTTAAATATCCAATAAGAGAATAGGTAAAATCATCTGTGATAAATCCAAACCATAGAATGTTAAATAGTTGGTTGTTTTATGTTGTTTTTATTAATTATGCTTTTGAGGGTTTTTTATGAAAATGAAAAATATCCACATTATAATATAAATCATACTAATTCACTTGTAAATATTTCTAAGCTACCAATGAACTCTGTGTCTAGCCCATAAACCTTCTGCCTAGTCCTTTCTTCTATTTTTCATATGCTCAAAGCTTACTCACCTTGTTCTTTCTGCCAGTACCACTTGGCTAAATCATTTGCTAGGCTCACAAGATCTACATATCTTCTTTCTACAAACATATTCAACTGAGGAGGTTCTAGGCTACAGTGGTTTTAATTGTGTACAAATGAGAACACAACACTTCTACCTATTTTGAAAGTGAAAAAACTATTATGTGTCAAATATAAATTAAGATAAATTAATGTATTAATAAGAATATTACTTATCGTATTCTAAGACCATTAAAATATTAAGATCATATTGTAAGATACCTACTCTGACCCAACAGACCCATGACTTGCCATGGGGAGGCTAAGTACAATCATTTCCTCAGTTCTAGATTGGAAATCAATTCTGACAATAGAGGTTAAATTCTAAGAGTATTAAGCAGTGATCGATATCTTGTACAAAGAACTCCATTTACCAAAAAATCTGTGAATTTTCTTCATCAAACTTGTCTTCCCAAAACTCTAATCTATCAGAAATGCTTTCCTGTAAGATAAACTGCACATGAATCTGATCCCTCTGGATCCTCAAACTGCTCTATGAACTTTGGAACACGTAACTGATCTACCCAAGTGAATGTAACCACGTAGAAAGTCAAAGATTTGCTTACGATTTATTTTGTTCAAACTTTGTTCCCCTTCCAATCTTCCTCATTCCCATGGCCACAGCCAGGATAAGAGAGTAGAGTACTTCTAATTGGCCTTCCATACTGTTCATGGGCTGGACCAACAATAGTACCTAAGAGTTTATTGTGACTTAGTTATCCAGCCCTTACCCCTTATTCTCTCTTTCTTTGCTGTGGTAGAACTTATAAATTATGGCTGAGCACATGACTGCCTGAAGTTAAAAACTTCATTTTGGGGTATGGCCAAGGTCAAAATTCTGGTTAATTCACTCAAAATTCCGGACATCTTCTGGGAAGCTTCTTGCAATAAGGGAGTTACACTCCTCCCTTTTCTCCTGCTGAGTAGAATGTGGAAAGGATGACAGCTGCGGCAGTCCAACTGAACCCTCAAGCAGAAAGTCGGTATTCTCAATGGTAGAGCAACAAGAAGAAAGCAGCCTAGGCCCATGATGATCACCGAGTCACAAAAACCCAGATGTCAATATAGCGAAAAGTTTGCAATCTTAATCATTTGAAATGCACCATTCAGTGACACTAAGTACATTCACCATATTGTGATACTCTCGTCACTATACATTCCCAAAATGTTTACACCATCTCCTAAAAGAAACTCAGTTTTCCTTCAACAATAACTCCCACTCCATCATCCCTCTCCTCCATGGCCCTAGTGCCACTAATAAGGACCTGCCTATTGGACATATTTCAAAGAACTCAGTTATTTCTGACGCATAGCAATCCTGTGAATTGCTGATACTGTACTCTTGACAGGAGTAGAAAGCCTCATCTTTCTACCTTGAGACGATTAGTGGTTTAGAACTGCTGACCAAGTAGCTAGCTGCCGAACTTGTTATCCACTATACCACCAGTACTCCCTGTTACACCTACAAGGAGACCATTTAATAGGGCTCATTCAAATTTATGCATCTACCAATAAAGCCAATTGAAGAATTCTGAAACTTTTCAATCAAAAATTGGTCTAACATGTAATCAAGATGCATTGGTAATACTGGTGACTAGACTGAAATTTGGAAATACAAGGGAAAGATTGTAAAATATCACCTGATGGAATTCTGCAAGACCAACAGTTATTCCTTGCAAATGCCTTATCTCAACAACAAAATCAATGACTATATGCATGTGGACCTCATCAGATGGAATACACAGAAAGCACCACAAGACCACATGCTGACTATTGCTAAGTTACTTCAAATTGAAGCAGAAGAAAATTAAAAACAAGTCCACAAGAGCCAAAATACGACTGTGTGTACAACCACCTGAATTTAAGGCCATCTTAAAAACAGATTTGATGCACTGAACACTGATGACTAGAGACCAGAGGAGCTGCGAAATTACATCAAGAATATCTTACATGAGACATTTTTAAAAAAGAATATCTTACATGAAGAAAGCAAAAGGTTACTAAAAGGACAGGGGGAAAAAGGAAAGACCAAAGTGACTATCAAAAGAGACTCTTGACATCTGTTCTTAAATACAGAGTAGTTAAAGCAAATGCAACTGGAGAGAAAACGCCAGAGATAGCTCAAGAAGGCGAAGTACAGTTTGAAAATGAAATGTGCAAAGACCTGAAGGCAGAAAAACAAAGGGAAGGACAATGCTAAGCATACCTGAAGCTGACATCACTGAAGAAAACCTCACGCATTCAAGCCGTGAGTGGCGATATTGAAGGATTCTATGGTTTAAATATTGAATGATGCAGGAAGCACCAAAAAGATGAAAGGAAACCAGCCTGAGCCGATCAAGAGGATTCGCTCTTTGGGTCCATTTAAAGGCCACCAGGCCACCAAAACTCTGCAGATCTGGAAAGCCACCAAGTATTGGGAAGATGCCACTGTGCAGAAGCAGTGTGTGCCCTTCCAACATTGCAACACCATGGTTGCTATCTCGGAACTGAAAATAATAAGTTTTACAACCAAATTGAACTCACTGCCATCGAGTCAATTCCAACTCATAGCAACTCTACAGAAAAGAGTAGAGCTGTCTGTCCCTATGAGTTTCCAAGACTGCTAACTGTTCACAGGAGTAGAAAGTCATATCTTTCTCCCCCAAGGCAGCTGGTGGTTTCAAGCTGCTGACCTTGTGGTTAGCAGACCAACCAGAAACCACTCCACCACAGGCATAAAGACTAACCTAGGGCTCCTGGTGGTGTAGGGGTTACAGTGTTGGGGTGCTAACCGCAAGGTCAGCAGTTCAAAGCCACCAGCCACTCAGCAAGAGGAAAATGAAGCTGCTCTGAAAAGTAATTACAGTCTCAGAAACCCCAGAGGCAGTTCTAGCCTGTCCTTTAGGGCTGCCATGAGTTGGAATTGATTAAAGGCAGGGAGTTTGGTTATCAAACATATCAGTTCTGAGATCGCAACCATATTTTTATTCTTATATAAAAAACAAAAACAAAGAAAACCATTTTCTGATCCTAATAATGACTCAGAACTCGCCTAATTCCTGTTCCTCAAGCAGACAACTCATTCCAAACTAATTTAAGTGGCTGATAACACAACATAATTTTAATTAAAAACTTATCAAATTCTGTCAGAATAATATTCTATATAACTATTGCCAATGTGGTAATCAGTAGCTAACACTAATAAAAGTTAAATAAAGTTTTATTCAGTAACACTAGCCATATTTCAAGTCCTCCACAGCTGTGTGTGACTAGCGGCTACTGCATGTAGTAGCATAGATATAGAACAGCTCCATTGTTAAGAATGTTCTAGTGGACAGTGTGGGTCTATAACGGTGTTAATCACTACTTATCTTTGCAAGCAAGACAGTCATCATCCCAGCTTAGGGAAACTACTATAAAATAACCTGTAAAATAGTACAGTAGTCACACAATACCCTGTAAGTGGTCAATCAAGTTTTGACAATGGTGAAGCATTAGACTCCAAAGTATTTCCAATTCAGAGAGAATGTTGGTTTTATTCACTTCCTGAGCAACTCTAATTGTGAAAATGATCAGGCAAATTTATTAACACAGGAACATGAAGAACTAAAAAGCAAATAAATGAAAACCATGTTGTCGTCGGGTGTCATTGGGTCAATCCCAATTCATAGCAACCCTCTGTGCAACAACCCGAAGCACTGCCCGGTCCTGTGCCACCTTCACAACTGTGGTCTCTTTGAGCCCTTTTGGTGGCAGTCACCATGTCAACTGTTGAGGGCTTTCTTTTCACCGATCCTCTCTCTACTTTACCAAGCAGGAAGTCCTTCTCCAGGGACTAATCCTTCTGATAACACACCAAAGTACTCGAAATGAAGTTGCATTGCTCTTGCTTCTCAGAAGAGTGCTAGCCGTACTTCTTCCAGTGTAGATTTGCTTGCTCTTCTGGCACTCCATTCTTGGTCAACGCCATGAGTCAAAGGCATCAGTCCTCACTCAGTCTTCCGTAGGCATTGTCTAGCTTTCACATGGCTATGAGGCAACTGAAAATACCAGGGCATGGGTCAGTCATAGCTTTATCCTCAGAGTAACATTGTTGCTTTAGAAAACTTAAAACAGGTCTTGTGCAGATTAACCTAATGCAAATACATCATTTGATTTCTG